CCACATTTGCTTATGCACCGGCTTTGTCTTCAGCGGTTGTGACTCTTCTTTCTTTATTATTCAGCTTCGATATAAAAACAAAACAATTGGACATATGTCTCGAGGTCAAGCTCACCTTAGTGCTCAAGTGACATCTTTACTCTTTAGGACTTTAAAGAGGTCTTTTACACCAGATTTTCCCAATGCAAAATGTCATTTGATTTCATAACTGCTTTCATTTACTCTAGTAAAATGAAATCCTCTATAACTTCAGTCTCTTCTTGGTTTATCATAATTTGGTTTACTGGTCCAGTTGTGAGAATGTCTTATTTAATTTGAGGTGCAATCCATCCTGAAGGCTATAATCGTAGAGCTTCATTAATAAGGGCTTCAAGTTCTCCTTGCTTTCAGGAAATAAGGTTGTGTCACCTACGTATTACATGTCACCATGGAGTCTCCTTCCAATCCGATGCTCTACATTCTTCTTCATACAGTCCATCTTCTCAGATTATTTGCCCAGCATACAGATGAATAAGTATGAATAAGCAGAAGACTGAATGAGTATGGTGAACAGAACATCCCTGCACATACTTTTCCCAATTTGAAACCACTCATTGTTATCCTCTTGGTCTGCTTACAAGGCCGCCTCTGCAGGGTCTGTGAACAGGATCTTCATGAGCACCATGAGGTGTCCTGGATTTCCCATTCTCTGCCAGGTGATTCATAATTTGTGATGATCCACAGAGTTCAGACTATGTAACAGGTGATGTCAATAAAAATCCTGTAGAATCCCGTAGGGGACAAGCAGTTTCTGCAGGTGTTTGAGCCGGACAACTATTTGAGGGGCACAGTGACAAAATCTTTAGGTGTATGGGAAAAAGCAGGCACTGGCTCCTATGCTCTTTTCCAATTCTGGAGCTTCAATAAGATTGTGGAATTCTCATAGTCAAGGCAGGCCTGGCTGGTGAAGCCAAGCTGTGAATTACAAACTAAAGGCAAGCTGTCCAGGTTACCCTGTTGATATAAAAGCAACACAATGTTGTATTTTAGTTTTTAGGGCCTAATCAGGAAAGAAAATGTAGAGAAGCAGGCAAAATTCCAAGAACAGCAAACAAAAACAGCCAAGTGGGCAAGAGACTTAGGAAATGATGAAAGGATTGGGTTAAGTAGTTTGAAGAAAGTACGAAAGAAAATAGCTAAGTGGAAGATACAGCAGGTGAGCGTATGAGTCATGGCAAGTGATTCGATTTATTGCCCGAGAAAAGAGAACCAAGGAAGGGCTTTCCAAGAAGGGCCAAGGGTTGTCCAGCGGCCATTTGAAATAGTTCATGAACAGGAATTGGATAAACTCTTTACCTACAGAATTTTAGTAGGCATATGTGTGGATATGTTTTTAGATTCATTTCACACTTCACCAGGAAAATGACTATTCAATCATCACCTTGTTCTCCTGGCGTTTGTACTGTGCCCCTGAACGCAGCCGTCCTTGGCATGGGCTGCAATCCTGCTTGGTCTTCCATAGTCTCCGTTCAACTCTTGCTGGTACGTTGCTAACTCATCACTGTGCCATATCCAACTCTTCGTATGCTTTCCCAACTCTACCCTGTTTCCCCGAAAATGAGACAGTGTCTTATATTAATTTTTGCTCCCAAAGATATGCTAGGTCTTATTTTCAGGGGATGTCTTATTTTTCCATGAAGAAGAATATGGTACACATTTATTAGTTATTGTTTTATTAAAAGAGACTTCACACTTCCTGTCTGTTCCAGCTGCGCTGCAGCCAACAGTGAGCTGCGTGGCGGTGCCCGCCACTATGGTCCAGAGTCCAGAGTTATGGTAGCTTTGGGGGGCCTTATTTTTGAGGAGGTCTTATTTTCAAGGGGATGCCTTATATTTCAGCGAGAGGCAAAACTGTAAATAGGTCTTATTTTCGGGGGATGTCTTACTTTCGGGGAAACGGTATGTCCATGGGCCTCTCAGATTTAGCATAATGTAAACTGGGTGGATTTTCTTCCCTTTGAAATCTATTCCTACACCTTTATTTTCTGTTTGTCTGTTACAGCTGTTGAGTTGCTCCTGACTCGTGGTGATGTCATGTGCCCTTTCGAAAGATAACCAGGCCTTTCGTCTGAGGTACTTCTGATTGGATTTGAACTGCCAACCATTTTGGCTAAGTCTAGTCAGTACTTACCCATTTTTAACACCTAGGGAGACCTAGTTTCTGTTTCGGTAGGTTGTAACAGCATTGGACTTGTCAACCTCAGAGTATTTCTTTTTTAACTCCTGCCTTCTTCACTCTGTTCATTGAATCAAATACCAAATCTTGCCACTTTTGCCTTCTGGATTTTTCTTCCTATTTCCCCCCACCATTAGCCTGACCGTATTGCCCTGATGGTGTAGTGCTTATACAAAGTCAGCCGTTTGAAACCACCAGCCGCTCCTCAGAACATAGACAGGGCTTTTTTATCCCCCGAAGAGTTAGTCTCAGAAACTCACAGGGGCCATTCTGTCCTGACCTGCCGGGTCAGAAGAGTTGGCATTCACTCTATGGCAGTGAATTCAGTTTTGTGTTTGTTAATCATCCTGATGCAAGCCACGGTATTTTTAAGGACTTCACGTGCATGTGAAAGTTGGACATTGAAGAAGGAA